TCGGCGCGCGACAAGGTACATCCACAGGACGCGCAGAGGCAGCTGCGACCCCGCTGAGTGGACGGCGTCACACCGCGCCACCTGCTGTGTGACGCCGTCTACTCGGCGGGGTCGCAGCTGCCTCTGGAAGGCACCGACATGTACCTTTTTGCGCAAATGGTCAAAACCAAGGTTTTGTAACGCGGGCTGTGCCACAGTGAAATGGCACTAGCCAAAAGGTGAGACAGGCACGGCGCCGTACGCCTACGCGGTAGCCGGTACGGCCGTGCAGAGCCGTGTTAGGCCGACGCGGCGTCCGGGAGGTATAAGGTACCTTTTGTAACAGCACATTGACCGATGTGACAAGATCGTCGAGGCGCATAATCAGCCGGCCGACCGACGCGTGTGCACGTGCAGTTCGCTGGCCTTTAACAGCACATTGACCGACGCGACAAGATCCTTCGCGCATAATTTCCTGTTATTCCATTCAGAAACTAATAACTTCCATACTTGTCAACTTTCATTTATGACCACGGTATTTGTCTGTGGACGCCGGAGCCCGCCCCTACCTTTTGGTTGTGGGGTGGAAGGGACCCAGGCCCTACCATCCGTTGGCTATGGGATGGTGCCTCCCCGGTTCGAGCCAGTTGGACGTTAGATGGTACCCGCTGTAGCCGAGCGCTGTGACCTGTGTATGTGGCCCACACGGCATCCATCCCAGTCGTGCTCGTTGCTCGCAATCGCCTTCACACCTTACTGTGCCGTACCAAAGTCTGAACAGGTTGGAGCAGCAGCTCCTGACCACGGCGCCGCAGGCGCCTGTTGATAGGTCCAGGTGATAGCCCTGGATGGGCAATGCATACGCCTCACTGGGCCTCAGATCCCCCGACCGCGTCCCGGTGCTCTGTGGTCGGATTTGTGACGCCGCCGCACCGCGCCGCGGCCTGAGGCGTAGTGGGACCTACTATGAGTGCCGTCTACTCGAACCCCCACCTGTCGAAGGGGAGACGGTCACGAGAGAAGGCGATAGTAGACTGTAGTGGCGGGTAGGCAATGATAGCAGACTTGCTGCCTCATTGCCGCCCTCGCTGAGGTGGGTTGGCGTGTGGTGGCGGCTTTGCCGCCCCACCGCCGCCCCTCATTCACGTCGCTGCTGGCTGTCCCGTTTGCGATGTGTAAAGTTGGCGTGCCTCTTCGATGCGTCGTGTCAGTGCCGGCGAGATCGCGTAGGTGCCTCTCGGCGAGATCTTGACTAGTGTGCTGAAGCGTGCACGGGTCTCCTCGCTGACCATCTCCTGTAGCTTGGTGTGGCAACGCTTGACGTAGTGGTCCTTGATGCTCTTAGCATACGATAGACACAGAAAGCATGAATCATCGAAAGGTCTGGTCTCCAAGAGAGAGAGAGAGATTTGTTGTGTCTCCAAAAAGAATTTTACAGCACTCCCTCGCACGACACTGGGCACGGGACTGGCGCGCACTGGCACTAACACAGGTACACCAAAAAGAAACTACAGTTCCGGACGGGCATTAAGAACCTCTAACGTTAAGAACCTGAGGCTCATATTTCGGCCGGATCCCTAAGAACTCCCTAAGAACCTGAGGCTGGGCCAACGCCTGCAGCCGGCGCCCCTGCCCCCGCGGCCGCAGCCGCAGGGGCAGCTCACGGCAGCGAATGACTCTCTTGTCACGCCATGCGCGAACTTACTGTTCCAAACTTCCAAACTGTTTTAAGACCCATTATTGATTTTTAATCGAAGCCGAAACGGTTTTAAAAACCATCCACCCGGTTAAGAACCTGAGGCTCGGCCCCCGACGGACCGCCGACTTAGCTAAGAACCTGAGGCTGGGCGAAGAACCTGTGCGTTCTTAATGCCCGTCCGGAACTGTACGTTGGACTCACGCACAGAGCCGTATTTAGGCCGACGCTGCTGAAGTATCCCAGAAAATTGTCCGCGTCCTCGGGACCCCGCTTCCTGTGCCTTCACGGCAGCGGCGGCAGCGGCGACGCGTTCCTCGCTCGGCTCGCGCATCTGCAAGAGGGAACGGCCTGGTCATTTCATGCGATCGACGCGCCGTCGGGGCGGCGAACGTGGTGGACGTACCCGGCGGGCGAGCCCTTCACGGCCTCCTCTTACGAGGGCGCGGAGCAGAGCATCGCTGCGGTCGAGGCCGAGCGAGTCGGGCGGCTACGTTGGCCTGCTCGGCTTCTCACAGGGCGCGATGCTGGCGGCAATCGTCGCGGCGAGGGCGTCGCTCCGCGAGAGCTGCCCATCGCTGCGCTTCGCGGTCAGCTGCGCCGCCGCCGTGCCGAAGCCCTACGAGCCCCTTCTGGAGCGGCTGCGGGCGGCGCCAGAGGCGGCGGCCGCGCTTCCGACGCTGCACTGCCTGTCCGAGGCGCGGGCCCGCCACGCCGTCTCGGCTGCGGCGCCTCGACTGCTAATCTCGGCTGCAACCCTCGGCTGCACCTCGGCTGTTCTCTCGGCTGCATCTCCCTGCTGTTGCACCTCGGCTGCACCTCGGCTGCACCTCGGCTGCACCGCTCCTCCTCCCCTCGTCCCGTCTGCGCATCGCCCCGGCTCCTCCCTCGGCTGCACCGGCGGCGCTCCCGTAGGTGGACTCGATCAACCCGCCCGAGCTGGGTGAGGCCGTCGCCGCCTGCTTCACGCACCCCGCCTCGGCCACTCTCTGGCACGGCGGCGGCCACGACGTGCCGCCGCCGCGCCTCGCCGCAGAGGTGCTCGCGTGGATGGACAAGGCCGTGGTGGCGGACGCCCGATGAGCAGATTGTACCATACCCCAACATTATCCAAAACCCACATCCAGCCTGGTGCCCTTCGCGTGACCCGCGTCGGTCGGTGTCCCCTCAGACGTGCCGACAGCCAGGGCATGCCACCGACAGAGCTCCTCCTGCTGCTCTCCGCCGCTCCAGCAGTCACCACCGTTGCTCCACCAGCTGTCACCACCACAGACATGCACGACTGGCTCCCGGCACCACCAGTCTCCTCCGGCGCCGCCACCGCCGCCTTCCGGTTCGCCGCGGCTGTCGGCAGCGGTATGGTCCTCGCCGCGGCGCCAAAGCAAGCGGTGGTGTGGGGCTTTTGCGAAGCGGGCGCCTCCGTCGACGTCGTGTTCCGCGGGCAGACGATACGTGCGACGGTGGCGCCCGACCACGCCACCGGCGCGTCCACGACGTGGCGCGCGCTCCTGCCGGCCACCGGCGCAAGCTTTGAGAAGCACAGTCTGGAGGCTCGGTCTGGCGGCCGCACCCTCCGCCTGAGCGATGTCCTCTTTGGCGAGGTGTGGGTCTGCAGCGGCCAGAGCAACATGCAGTACCCGCTGGGCACGCCGACCTGCTGGAACGCGACCAACGTAAACTGCAGCAACCCGCACACGAAGCAGTGCAGCTTTGGCTGTACCGCCGATGCCGGAGCCGAGATCGCCTCCATGGCGGACTTCGACGGCGGCATGCGCCTCTTCCAGGTCGGCCGCATGTCGAGCAAGACGCCGCTCCCTGACGTGCGAGGCGAGTGGCTGCCTCCGTCAAAGATGGGAGGCCGCTCCCATACGCCAAGAGGAGGGGCCGACACCACCCTGCGCTGAGGTGCCGGCGCCCTGCTAGGCCGCTTCTCGGCGACCTGCTGGTTCTTTGGCCGCGACCTCTACTCGGTGCTCTCGCCGACGGTGCCGATAGGGCTGATAGAATCGGATGTGGGCGGGACGCCCGACGAGCACTGGAGCAGCCCCGACGCGATCAGGGCGTGCGACATCGCCCGCCCGTGGGGCATGCCAACGACGCTGTCTCGCCCGAGTCCGCGACCCGACCTGTCCAGGCGTGCGAGGGGCCGCGCCCGTGGGACATGCCGCCGGGCGAAACCTATGATGAGCCGGCGCCGCGGCCGATCTCGGCTCGATCTCGGCTGAGCGGCGGCGCGGGGTGTAGGCACGGTCGACTCGGTGCTGTGGAACGCGATGGTGGTCGGGCTTCTGCGCACCACGATCAGCGGCGTCGCCTGGTACCAAGGCGAGAACAACGCCGCCGAGCCGCGCCGGTACAGCTGCTCCTTCCCCGCGATGATTGAAGACTGGCGCGCAAAGTGGCACGCGCTCACCGACAACGCGACGGCGCGCCACTTCCCCTTTGGCTGGGCGCCGCTGCAATGTGCCGGCCTGTCGGCGCCGCAACCCACTGTTCAGTGCGCCTCGCCGTGCGACCAGGCGCAGCTCAACTCCGACGGCACGGGGCGGCAGGACTACACCAATCGCACCTTCAACCCGCCGCACCCGCCGGCCAACTGCGGCCGCGGCTGCGCTCCGGCGTGCAGCGGCGAGTGCCTCGGCGCGGCCGCAGCCCGCCGCTTCTGCCGCCCCCCCGAGGGCCCCCCGAGGCGCATGTCGCGGGACGTGTCCGGGACGCGTCGCGTAGGCAGGTACCACGAGTGGGGCGACTACGGAAACGGCTTCACGGGCCTCCGCTACGCGCAGAGCGCCGCGCTGCGCGTGCGCAACACCTTCCAGGCGGTGATCATCGATACCCCCGTCGCGAGCGGCTCGATCCACTCCCCCTTCAAGCAGCCAGTCGGCCTGCGGCCGTAGATGCAGGGTGCACGGCCCGCATGCGTCGACTAGCAGCTCGAGAGGAGACGTGGTCTCAGCTGTCTTCAGCCATGCTCGGCCGCCTCCACCGGAGTCGCAGCCCTTGTTCACATAAACGCACGACCCCGGGCCCGAAGTCGCACAGAGACAGTCGCGCAACACGGGTGCCCAGGGAAGGCGAGCAAAATCCCTATCACGCGATGCTCATCAGACGCGGGACGAGGCGGTGCTCCAGCCCTGACTCTGCGGTGTGCTGACGACGCAGGCCGGCGGCTCGCGCGCGGGGCTCTCGCCGTGGCATACGGCCGCAAGGCGACCGGGCGACCGAGAGATCGGAGCGAGACCGGACCACTTAGCGGTGACTGGGTCAGCTCTTGATTCCCTCGCCGCAGGAGCTCCACGCCGTCGACCCCATCGCCACCGGCGCCGTGCTGCGCGCCGGCGCCGTCGAGATCTCTGTGGGCGGGCTCGGCCGGGGCGGGGCTGCGGCGGTCGGCGAGAGCACCCGAGATCAAGCCGAGGTCAGCCGAGGTGTCGCCGTATAGGCGGGCTGATGGCGGAGATCGGCGCACGCGGCTTTGAGGTGTGTGGCGTTGCATTCGGCCCACCCGCCCGAGTCGGGGACGTGGGGATGCGGGGGGTCGCCCGGGGCCTTGGCGGCGCGATGTGGAGACGCTGCCTCTCGCTTCGCCCCCACCTCAGGTGCTCGGCAACTGCAGCGGGCCGACCCTCTGCTGGATGTCGTCGCCCATCTCGGCGGCGAGCGCCGACGCAGTCACGCTGTCCGCGCTGCCAGCGCAGCCCCAGGCCGTCCGGTATCTGTGGTACATTGATGCGGTGGGCGTGCACCCGTTCCGCGCGCCCATCTACACGAAGGCGCTGCCACTGCCCGGCGCCCCCGGAATCAAGTATGGCAATGGTGAGCTGCTGCCGCTCGGGCCGTTCCTGCTTCCGCTGTGAGGAGAGACACGAGAGAGAGGGCGTGATCCACGGCTCTGTCAGTCTATTGGAGTAGCACGCATTCGCTGTGGCGTGGGGCGCGTTTGCACTCGCGTGAGCGACGGATCTCGCGCGCGAGAGTCGCGCTTATAGCCTGCGGCGTGGTCTTGCAGTTGCAGCTTGCACCACCGATTGTGGGTTCGTCGTTCGCGACGCGTCCCATAAAGCTTTATATACGCGAAATTCTCGTGAAAACAAGTAGAAAATCGGCGCCTGCGGCGGGCCATGGGACCCCATCTCCCCCCCGCATGGGTACCCCTAGGGGCCCCGCCTCCCCCCAGAGCTCCCCACTGGCACTGCTGCCCACACTCTACACCGTGAGTATTTACTCGTATTAATATTTTGAGACTTTCCGCACAACCCTTTGTCGTGAACACCATCCCACGTGTGAGGCTAATGCCTGCGCTCACACAGACAAGTCTGGCACTGAAAGGTCCCCAGGTGGACGAGAAGACCCGCGTCAGCAAAAAGAGAAAGATCGGCGGTACTACAGGATCAGGAAGATGACGCGACGCGACCCAGGCTGCACCGACATCCAACCGTGCTCCCGCGTCTCGGCGGTCCTCCGACGCGCTAGTTGGCTGCGTGCAGCACGGCGCCGCCAAAGCCGGACGCGATTATGCGCACCGGCGCGAGCACCAGCCGCGGCCCTATCTCCGCGACGTCGAGCACGCCGCCGCCTCCGACGGCCTCCTGGATGCGGTAGACGCGCATCCACACGCGCCCGTCCAGCCAGGAGAAGGAGACGCTGTGCCTGGCTGCCGCGTGCTTGGCGCCGCTCGCGCCGGCGGACCCGGCAGCGTCGCCGCTCCCGCCGCCGCCGTCGCCGCTCCCGCCGCCGTCGCCTCGGTGCCGGCGCGGCACCGCAAAGGCTCGAGAGAGCAGCGCGCGCATGACGCGCCGGTCGGCAGTCTGGCCAAAGGAGGAGTCGAAGACGACCACGTTGCGCGCGCCGAGCACGCGCCGCGCCTCCAGCTTGAGCTCCGCGACGGTGTGAATGTTCATCACGCGGAACATCGCCGTCGGCCCGTCAGGGCAGCCGCCGACCCACATGTAGAGGCGGCGCGGGTCGCGCGCGTCGAGCAGCAGCGAGGTCGAGCAGTCGTTCTCCTCGCAGAGCGCCGCCATCCCGCCGAGCCCCGCCTCGTCCGTGTCCACTTTCGAGTGCGGCAGGCCGTGCGGCAGCAGCCGAGTGAGGTCGCGCATCAGGTGGCGGTGGCGTGCGCGGATTCCTCGCGTGCTCGCCACAAGGCAGCCAGCGCCGTGCGCGACGGCGGCCTGCTCCGCCTTGCCGCTCTTCCGCTTTCTCTTCTCCACCATGACCAGCGTTGAGAGCGTGCCCGGTCGTGCGTTTATGGTGCTGACTCGTCTTTCTTTATTCTCAGCATGGAAAAGAGTTAAAACTCTTCAGAGAGGCTCATTGCTTTAGCCGAGTCACACGCTCTGATGCAAGAGTGCACTGAGTGGACCAATCTGTCCGGGCAAGGATGGACATGACCGCAGCGGTGTATAATACCCGTCCTGCGCAGAGGAAGCGGGAGAGAATCATTGTTCGCTCTTGCCGGTCTGACGACCCCCCCTCGCCCCTGTGCAAGCCCCGCCAGACCTGCAGCTTGCCCTGCCACAAATCCCTGAACGCCTAGCCCAAAGCTGAAGCCGAGGAGCAGCCCCAGAGGGAAGCCAATGCAAGTGAAGCAGAGCTGCGCCAGCTTGGCGGCAGTCTTTTGCCTGTGGGGCAAGGGGTTTCCGATGGCGCAACTTTCGTGCGTGTTGGCCCGGGTGGAGGAAGGGCGATTTTGGCCTGGCACAGCCAGCCATCACGGCGTTGGCTATTGCCATTAGACCCCCAGCACAGGAGTTGACGACTAGCCACGGCACCAGTGCGTGGAGCTGCAAAATAACAGCCTCGTCTCGCGTGAAGATCCGAGCCCAGCCGCTAGTAAAGGCGCAGACCGCGAAGAGGGGCAATGGCAGCCAGCACCCGAGCAGAAGGCGGCCATTTCGTATCGCAAGAGAGGCGAGGCTGGGAAGCCCAGCCCCCAGAGCTCTTCCGACACAAACAGTGACCCCACTTCGAACCCCGTTCGGCACGTCGTAAATCATCTTCAACGTCGAGCTGAGGATACAAGGCGGGGATGTGTGTGAGGTTGCTGTAGTCTATATCGTGCAGGGGAAGGGATAGTGGCGCACGTATATACCGAGAGGGCGGAGAGGGCGACGGCCGGATTTGGCACCAGGCCGGTGCATACCATGATGGCCTCTCCCGTCCAGTAGTCACTCATGAGCACGCCCGGCAAGACGAGCCGCAAGAGCTCCCCTCGGCCGTCTCTCAGGCCGCGCCGAGTGAGGCCGCCGAACGGGCGGTCGAGGTCAGCGTGCGGGCTGATGCAGTGCATGTACAAGGTGGCAGCGCGTGCGATCCACATAGCTGAGTTTGCGCATCCCGCGCCGAGGAAGCCGAGGCGGGTATTGAACACGAGAGAGTAGCAGACTGCTGCATGGAATGGCGTCAGGGCGAGGTTGATGTAGAGCGGCGGCTTGGTAATCTTTTGGCATGCGAGCCAGGCTTGTAGCACCTCGCAAACGCCTCGTGCGGCGGTGACCGGCAGAATGGCAATAGCATATTCGCCCGCCAATGTCGCAAACTGCTCACCCATGCCAAGCAGGCGCACAAACAATGGCAGGATACAGAGCAGCGCCATGATCGGTCAGGCCATCGCGCAGGCAAGAGGAAGCGCACGCTCGAGAACCAA